ATCAATATTTCTTTATTATTGCTAATAAAATCAGAATTATGGTCCGCAAGCGCACCTGCCATTTACAACATCGTATGTTATCTTACTTATATTCGAAATATAGAAGATAAATATTTTACGTTCGTTTGAACGAAGTGAATTAGAACGTAATCATCTTTCTTTCAGATCATTAAACAAATGGATTTTGTTTGAATTTTTTATTGCAAAGAAAGTCTCAAATCTGATAAACAAAGTTTTCTTGGTTCCCTCGGTCCAACTTCCAACTGCACGACCATCAAATTAGCAATTTCCGGTCCGGATACGGAAAAAGACAGACCCGCGGTCTGGATACGCGATTTCACGGACCAGTTTTCAGCCAATCAGAGCGCGTGTACTATCTAAGTCATATAATAATATTATTTACACTGCGAMTATCATTCATTACACAAGAACGCTAGTGTTGGAAGACGATCGATATCCACTSGGCATTTTTTAATACAGTTACAATGGCCGATTAGCAAACCYTCAAACCATCCYTTATTTAGAGAGCACAGCCATAAAACTCAAGCCTCATGGTAAGAAACYCATGCACAGTCATTGGATAAACTCTAACAAACTTAGCCTTCAGATTCACTTCGTTTCTGACCACAGTATTCCTGTTATTGTTACCAACGAACACTTGAGAATTATTGTAGTCARCAAAGTTGACTCCATCATTGCTGTAYCKKACWGTGTAGGTCTTMACCCATTGRTYAAWMTGAGGAGCTCCCTGTGTTGCTATGCCAACTATRGTGTGAGATASGTCAAACTTTATTTGAAACCAATGRCCTTTGTCGGAGTTTACCGCGGCCCAAGCTGAAGTTGGGTTGTTCAGTCGACCCTTCCATGCTGGTAATTGACCGCTGATGTATTGTGAAGATGCGCTGAGTTGGTCGTTAGTGATTCGTCCGTCCTCCATACCCACAGCGGCTAAATAAGGAAAAGCCCTTCATTACTCTTGAAACCATAACATCAAGTTGTTCAAAATGTTATTTTATTCTTCGTTTGCAATATGCGTTACAGATATCTAATGTTCACTCAACGTAAATGGCAATTTGTTTTATTAGAAATTACTAGCCGCGTTTATGTCAAATTTTAGAAACAAGACGATACTCGAACAGCGGCGTCGAACAGAGGATCGCAGGTTCGAATCTCGTCTCGAGCGCTTTTTTCCTTTCTTTCTTTTTTAAATATAATATAGTTGTTATAGTCATGCTGATTTTTTTCTATAGATATTCGTTTATTAACAATTATTTTCGAGCCATTATTTTTTTTTACGAAACTAGTTTTACAGACAAGATAGCTAGTTTAACCAAAGAGTAGTGAAATCAAAATGAAAAAAAAATAAATAAATAAACAAAAATAAAAAATATATCAAAGTCTTGCGAGGCCAAAATACTCGCCATATCAAAGAATATTGTGAATAAAAATGTTTGTTTTTAGAGATCGAAGACATTACCTTTACTTTGACACTTTGTTGGAGGTCGTTTGTCATAATTGATGTAGTCACTGCCTGTTACATTGATCAGACTTACTGGGCTTGAAATGTGATTAGCATTATTCAGCTCGCATGTTTTGTTARCCTGGAAGAAGTTGATGCTATGGCAGTCGTTGTTAAACGAACAGGCATCAGCACAGTCCTCCTTGGTTGGTACACAATCAAAAGTCATGATGACGTATCCCTCCAACTTTGAGTTCATGCGGTAATTGGGAGACACTTTGCACAACTCAGCCTCAATGTGGAGGACTTTCAGAAGAAAGGCAAGGCAAGAAAACACCAAGAGATCTCT